TGATTATTATAAATTAATTTTCAAATACTATTCCCTCTCAATTACAATATTCAAATGGAAAGTGAAATTTGCTCATTCTGAAATTCATTAAACAGTATGCTTATTAAAAAAAAAAGTACTTTTAATCAAATATTTGACATAAAATATTATTTTAGTAGAGAGAGAGAGAAAAAAAAAAGAAGATATTTATCATACTACAGTTAGCTATTTTAGGTATATCTTCACAAACACATTTATTTTCATCAATTATTGTTTCATTTATCTCTTATTGTACTATTATTCATTATATTTATTCTTTATTATGCTAATTAATTAATAGCATCTATTGTTTGGCATATTACTAATCATCGTAATTATTCATTATCAACCAACTGTTCTTTTTTTTCTAAAACTTTCAAAAGTAAGGAAAAAGGAAAAGTAGAAAAAAAAATAGGCTCTTTATATTTATTGCATTACTTCACCTTGAAAATTTGTCATTTATTACCTGTGTAACTTATCACTTACATTCGAAATTCTTCCAATGCTATTAGTAATAATTATTGATAAGTTCTTAATAGTATTTTTGAATAATTAATTTGAAAAATCATAACTATTTGTTGAATAATTAGAAGTTTGAGTTTGCAACAATATTTTTTGACTCAAACATTATAACTTAATCTTACAAAAACATGAATTATGCATAACGTTTGTAGCCAATGGAATAAGTTCCTAATAATCTTGTTGAATAATTAATTTAAAAAAAAAAAAAACAGGAATATGCCATTTACACAACTCATAGTATATTTCCAGGATGAATTTTGTCATCTCATCTCATCGAGCTCCATATTCGAAATAAAAGATAAAAATTGCTAGTTATTAAAGCAATACCGATTAATCTATTATCTAATTTTGATTGAAAAATTACTACAATAGAATTAAAAATCACAGTAGTAGTCTACAATAGAATCTAATCAAAAATGCAATTATCATATATGCAGATTAAATTTATACAGTACATAGCATGAAGGTACATAGCATATATATATATATATATACTTTTATACATTACATATAAACTAATTAATTTATGAAAATATTTTTAGTGGTACTTTCGCATTTCCTTAAGCTTTAATATTTACGATGCTGGATTTAACGCTACAGTATGCAATACTTCTGTAATCTGTTCCTTCAAAGTTTACAATTTCTTTCACTCTTTATCAATTTTATCATTTTATTAGTAAAATTTAAAAATTTTCGCTTCTACACAATACTTTAGAGAAAAAAAAGAAAATTAAATTTTCAAATAAGAAACGTAAGTTGCATTTGCATTTACTGGACATTTGAAAAAAAAAAAAAACACTTCATTACTATTCTTTACTAATTTCATTGTAAAATAAGCCCTAGTCTAAACTACAATAGTTATATTTTCATATTAAATTGCATATCCTTCCATTAATACTTTACCAATTCTTAAAGATAATTACATACATATCTTTTCAGATAATATTGATTTTGCTAACCTGACAAGAAGTCTTGAAATAAAAATTCAGAATGAAGCTGATCGCAGGTTTTATTTGGCGTGTGGTGCATTGATCGTAGCAATTATAGATATCTTTATTGGCTATTTAAATCTATGCTTCCTGAAATTCTTTTGCTAGGAGAATGTATAAAGTTATGGGATGAATTTACTATGAAACAGGCTATCAGATGCATTTATAATCAGGTTATCAGATACTTTCACAATCAAGCAACAAAATGCATTCATATCTGAATGAAATTTGAATCCGTAAAATAACCGTCAGATGCTTACTTCTATTTTTAGTTAAAAATCATTCCATTCAATTTTCAACTCGTATCACTTTAGTAATTTACATCACTGGATATTATAGAACAATATTTGTGCTTTTTTTTTTTCTAAAACTTAAATATCTAAATTATTATTATTCATCAAATTGTTCTTGAATTTTATCATTCAATTTAAAAAATTATTTATTTCTAATCTGTTTATTTCATCGCTCTAACAAATGCTATTTAAATACTTTCTCCACAAATTGCAACAATTCCTTAGTTTACAACAATTATTTTAATTTTATATTTTATTCAAATATACATTTTTGAAAATTAATCATACAAAGAATGATTGTTGATCTTTTCTTGTCATTGAATACAGAATTTTTGAATAGTCAAAATTTTAGTTTTAAATTTTGATAAATATTATTATGCATTTTTGTTTGAAAAATTATTTAATAAATTTTTAAATGGCACACACACACATACACACACATACACATACACACACATACACATGCATGCATATACATAGAATCCCATATATATTTATCTACTATTGTCATTCAAGCTTTTTAGCTCACTTATTACTTTTAATTTTTGAAATCTATGAAGATATTTTTTACTGATAAAAGATTTTGTATATTTATTACTTCGATATTAAAATATGTACTTTGTATATTCCTTATTTTGAATATTAATGGTATATTATTTGCAATAATTTGTTTCATTTCCTAAAATTCTTATCAAATTCTTATAAAACATTCATATATTTGATATAAATTTCAGAATAAAAAAATAAATTATTTACAATAAATTCTGTTTGATATAAAAACTTTGCATAAAAACAATTTCTTTCAAATATTTTATTAAATTTAAATAAAATGAAAAGAATCCCTCCGTTGTCGTATTATTTCGCATTTGCGCCTAACAATTTAAAATTCATTGAGTATTTATCAAAAAAAAAGAAATATTTTTTATTTAATTGTGCAAGCATTTTTAACTTTAAACAAAATGAAATTTTATTACCGAAGAATTATATTGAAATAAGCTCAATTTTCCTTTCTTCTCATATTTGCAGCCATTTATTTGCTCACTAAATTTTACCCTTACATTAATTATAATCTTATTTGTTCATTAAATTTGAATCTTATTAATTTACTCATTAAATTTTAATTTTATTCGCATGGTAGAATGCCTCTATCACTTAAATATGCAAAAAGATATTAAATGATTAGTTCGCTGTTACAATGTATTTGTTCGTTTCATTGTTAATAAAAGTTTTTTTTGGGATTTATTTCTAAGTCACATTACCACAACAACTGCGACAAATATTTATTGTCGCTCGCTGCACTTTTCATGCGACTGTCTCTGCTATATATCTTTTGGACACAAGAATCGATTCGTTTTTTTTCTTTTTTTTTTTTATCAGCACATTTTTAGATTGTTCTTGCTCTTCTCACCAACTCATCATTACTATTATCTATCTTCAATACTTCCAGGCTTATTTATTGACAAACAATCTGTCAAGTTCTGCCATTTTAGATTTTTAATTTGATTACTAATTATTTCATAATCGAAATACTTAATTAAAGCTATCGATGGTAGCCGAATATTTATCATTATTGTATCTAAGATAGCAATATTTCTCTACAATTTTTTTCTTTTCGATAATACTTTCTAGATATTGTCTACCTGTACCTGTATGGATTGATCAATCAGATAATTGATCAATGGGATATTTATCTGAATACTATCAGAAATTCATTCTAATAACCTTTTTTCGCTTTTTTTTTAATAACCTTTTTTGCTAATCCTAAAAAAGATTAATTTCAGAATTTCTTTAGTAACAATAAAAAGAAACAGCAACAATGTGTATTTCAATGATTGGTCAGTTAATCTTTGCTATAATAATGTCCGTCACATTAATATTGACCATTGCTGCATTTGTTACACCTGGTAGAGTTTTTCAATTTCAATTGATATACATATCTTTTATCATAATATGAAAACTAAATCATCTGTTATTTCTGTAATCATCCTGAAATGAAACTTTAATATGCAGTAGTTTGATACAATAACTGTAGTATTACTGTAAGTTGTTGAATGATAAGCTATGTTTTTTTTTTTCCCCTGTCTCGATATTCATTTATTGAATATTGCTTGCAATATTAATAAGTGGAAAAATAAAATTTGAATTTAAATCAATCAATAAACCTTATAAACTATATGATTCACAAAATGAAAGCAGTAAAACTGTTCTTGCGCCTTTTTTAAATACATTATAGTTCTAAATACAAATTAAATTTCGTATTTTGTGAATTAAATCATATTTATGTTTCAAATTTAAAATTGAAATTACACTGTAAATTTGCCTTTTTTTTTGAATCCAGCATAATTTTAATTTGAAAATAAATTATCTAAAAATAATTAAGCTTTATTTCAACATATCTTAATTTTTTTTTTCATAATTTTAAAACCAATACACTTGGAAATAAATAAATAAATAATACAATAATTTGACAATTTTATTGTAGAAATTTTGTACGATATAAATTTTAAGGTTGGAGGTCATTTTCGGTGGTAAAAGGTAATGAAAGCGAAGCGGCGAAATATTCAATGCCAGAAGCAATGGGACTACTTTGGTGTACTTCACCTATATCTGAAAACAATCTAACGATTGATTATTGTCATCTATGGCAAAATGTATGTTCCCAAAATTTTATTTTGAATTAAAACATTCTATAATTTATTGGGTAAAATGAAATTATGTTGGTGACAATTACAATAGCATCCTTTTGTGGTATGAATTTTTGTGATACCACGCAGCAATCAGTCATTTTATTTTGAACTGATTTATATAAGATACTAACCTATTTCACACTACCACCTTGAATATTAATTAGACTTAATTATTGTCATCTGATAAAAGCAATAACTCTTTATAGAAATATTATATATTTGCAGAATAAGCCAAAATGTGATGATAATGTTGCAAAATTAATGATTGCAACATTAGCTTTAGAAATTGGCTCATTAATTTGGGTAACTGTGACATTTTGTGCTTGTTGTTGCCGAGAATTTTGGATTTTCCTTCTACCATTAATAGCATTTTGGGTCACAATAACATTAGCTATTGCAATGTTCATATATACCGGCAATAATAAAACTGCTTTCGGTTAGTAGTTTCATTTGAAATTTAAATTAAATTTCCATAAAAGATAACTGTAATTTATTATTTTTTAATCCTTTTTCAATAATATTTCAAATTTTTATAAAATTTTGATAAGAGAAGGAAGAATAGATAATAAAAATTAGCATATTTTATTTTTGTAATAAATTTATAAATTATTGGCTAAAATTTTCAGATATATTGGATGGAAGCAAAGAAGCTGCATCAGAAGCTTATCATATTAATTTCTTTTACAGCTATTATATAGCCTGGGCTGCTTTATTCTTAGCCGTCGTTAGCATTTTCGTTGGTATTTTCGCTAAGAAACTTGCTCAGATTTGTTGCTAATTATGATAAGTTTAACAAAATCAGCTGACAAATTTATCATTTACAAGTCGTATCAAGTATTTCTATTGTTTTGGGCAAACCATAAAACAATACCTAATTACTTCATAGAACATGATATACTAGAACTAACTACGGCAAACTTTTCATTTATTTCATCCTTTGTTTATTCAAGAGAAAATTTAATATAGATTTCAAAATACAAGAATTATTGGCCACATTACCATTCTTAGAAATGTAATTTGAAATTTATAATTCTTTGGATTATGTTAATTCAGTTTTTAAATTTCGTTTTCGTTCAATGGTAATTTTTAATATGAATTTTAATTAAAGTAACGTTTTACTATTTCTCAATTGCTTTTTCCATCTGTATAATTTGTTCAATAATAGAAACAGTTTTTTTTTTTGCTTTTATTTTTTTAAAAATCTGTTCGCTTATTAAATTGATATGTATAGAAGATTTGGTTTGCTTTATATATGTAATTATAACTCAGAATTTTTATGCTAAAAATTTCTCTTGTCATCTACTTAGGAATGTATAAGTGTATCAGCATATTAAATATTTGGTATTACGTCTACTTTTTACTCCAATAATATCATTTAAAAAAAGAACCACTTTGATACATCATTAATTATGGTATGGAATTTTGAAGTATTTTATAAAGTAAATCAGAGTGATAAGAGAAGATAATAGGTGATAGGTTATTTAAATTTATATATATATATATATATACTTTCAAACTTTAATTTCAATGAGAGAGAGAAGGAAAGAAAAAAGAAAAAAATAGATAAAAGAAAGGTATGTATATCCTGAGTAGCTTATAGCACAAGATAATTTGCCTAATTGTGACTAAAACAATTCTGTTTCCATTAAAAATTTAAATGAAACTTACGAAATGTGGAAATGATAAAGAATTTTGAAGAAAAAGAAAAGTTTGGAAATTTACTTTTGAACTGAAAAGAAAATTCAACAGTTAAAATGTTCGAGATAATTCAAGGATTTGGGAAACGAAAACAGATAATTCATAATTTCAAAGAACCTCAAAAATCAAAATACTTCAAAGGAACTTCAGAAACAGCAACAAATTCAAAATATTCAAAAAAACAATCTAAAAGCCAGGAATTATGAAGTTTGAAAACTAATTTTAAAATTTAAATCATCCCAAAAAACGAGACTCCAAGGATTTTGAAAAAAAAGTTTTCAGATCATGAAAACAAAAACGAAGTTCAGAATGAACAAAAAAAAAACGGCAAAAATCAAAAAATTGAAAAAGTAATTCAAAACTCAAATTTTTCCGAAACAGAATTCAGAAAGAATAGAAAAATTCAAGAAATTCAAAAAGGAGTGTAAAAATTTCAAAATTTTGGTGATTCAAAAATCAGAAATTTGAAAAAAATCTTCAAAAATGAATCTTAAAAAATGAAACAAAAATCTAAATCTCCCAAAATTGAATTACAACTAAAATAAAAAAATAAAATATAAAATATAAATATAAAATATAAAAAGCAACATTGACAAATCATCATTGACAAATCATCAAAATATAAAAAGCAACATTGACAGATCATCATTTAATCTATAGCAAATATTATTAAAATTTGAATGTTCAATAAAAAAAAATACAAACACATTAAGGAATAAAAAAAAAGAAAATAATTTAATAAAAAAAAAGGGAAAATGAACTTCTAAGCAAGAAAGTATTAGTTGTTGTTGAAAAATTAATTAAAGAAATAAACCATTTTGAAAAGATAAACATTCATCAAATGCTATTTATCAAAATAGAATCAAATAAAATTGTAAAGTCAAACAAACAACTAAAATTTAACGCATAGCAAAAAAATTTGTCGCATAAGTTTAGCATATATTAGTGCAATAGATT